TGATACCAAATTAGAACACATTTTAAATGTAAAATCTGTACCATCCTCTAACTTTGGAAATACAGAGCAACAGATGAATTAACGGACTTACGGTTTGTGGCCCATTTTTTTAAACGGATAGAGAGAGTACATTTGAACGGTTTAGTAAAACTGGATTATAATAGTTTGGCACAGTATTTCGAGCGAATTTATAATATAGTTATTGATGAAAGATGTTTGTAACTGATGCATATTACTCGAAAATAAACTGAGATGTATGGGCTTCTGGCGGTGACTACAGGTGTGCAGATTTTAGTAGATATGATATGCATCACTGTAAATCGAATTAACAGATGATCGACTCTAATTGAATATCTTCTCAGTCATTGCAAAACTAAAACACTGAAATATATCAGCACACAGAAAGAATAATACTACCCTCAAATTTATACTATATTTACAAAAAAAGTGAAAATATTGAATGTTTTAAAAGCTGTGCGGTTGAAGAGTGGACCAATGTTTCGTAAATTCTTTGTTTTCTCACTGACTAGATTTCTCCAATTCGTGAATGTTTGTTTTTATCGGGCTTTTCCAGTTCAAAAATGTAACACCCAACAGAAGTTGGCAATCTTTCCAGTGAATACGAAAGTTCGTGTTGAATAACAAAGCTTGGATCGCAGAATCTGAGAAAAAAATGGAAAAGTAAATTAAACGTTCTAATATGATGTACACTGTACATATTGCAAAACACAGTTACAAAAAGAATCTTTAAAGAGGTAACTTTGAAAAATATGCTGCTTACCTATACAATGTTCTCGACTTGGAAAATTCCTTAGGTTGGTCAGAATTTTCCACGTTTTCTATAATGTTGTTTTGTAATAACTTGTTGAGAATCAACTTGGACTGTTCCATAGTTGCCTTTTGGAACGTGAGATAGATCTTAAAAACTTGCAACATGGCGATGGTCGCTGGCTGATCCGGTGAAAGTAATTGTGATACGTGTTAAGAAACCGATAGTGTTTTTTCACGCGAATTCTAGACTCAAAACTTCTGATAATTCGTTCCAAATCGTCTTAATATGAAACATGTTGTTTTGGCTCATATTGACAATGCTTTCCGTGTTCTCAAACAGAATAATAGTGCTAATGTCCCCACTGCTTTATATATGTTTATAAGTTGAAGTACGTGCTAGTCATTTCGATTGGTGGGTGGTAAGCCTTCTCATTACGAAGCAATATGTAAAATAGTTCACGTCCATTGGCGACATCATTTTTAATTAAATGCCGAGAGAAATTTGTTCGAATCAATTTTCATATTGTTTATGTATACGAGAAGGAGTTTCTATCCGTTTTCACCCTCGAACTTAATTGTAACGGCATTAAAAATCTAAAATTAGCATCACACCAAATTTTTATTTCTTACCAAAAGTTAATGGCATTTGTGCGAATTAATTTGCATATTGTTTCTGTATACGAGAAGGGGGTATTATGCGCTTCACCGTCGAATTTAGTTGTAACCGCAATAACTATCTAAAATTAGCTTTACCTCAAACTTGTTTATTTTATCAAAAGTTAATGACATAGTCTACTGCTCCAGATAAAAAGCTTGAAATAATTTCAAAAATCCAGTGCTTTGATCCAATAGTCGAATCTTGTAAAGGTTATTTTAGGAAAATGACGAAGGTGTACAATTTTGAGTTTTGAATCTCGTGTAGCTTTTAATGGAAATACTATGATGGATATTGCTTCAAACTATGATTAAATCCTACTTTTTTAAAATGTTTTTCCGAACTTTTTTCCCCTCGTAATGACGTTATCCATTTTTACAGGGTCTACGTCAGCCTTTATACCAGGGTGGTCCAAGGTTGTCGGTCTCGCGGGCCACACAATTATTTTTGTATAGTTCGTGGGCCACAGTCGTGCTAAGAATAAGTAAACAGTGGAATACGAAAAAAAAAACTTTTATTGTCTAAACACATTGATCATTATTTGTAAGCTAAAACATGCAAAAACCACAAAAAAAAATACTAAAATGTGCAAACATATTATTATATCTACAAGTGTAAGATTTCAGACTCTTCATAACAGAGAAAGTGCCATGAGGAGAAAATGAGGTTTCAGATTATCATCGAAACAACTTGCGGACATAGTAAGCAAGCACTGTTGTATTTTCCCTCCCATACCCAATCAAAAATCTGTTTGAATTGGTCAGCTTTCTTTTCAAAGTAATGTAGACCACCCTGCTTTATACCAATAAATAATTAGTACACAAAGTATAATATGGTAGTTCTGCTTTTTAATTAGACGGTTCACATTGCAAATTTTCCAATTACTCAAAGTTTGTTGATATTTAACATTAAACAATAAAACACTTCCAATTTTCCAATTTTACTACATAGGCCTACTTTTAAAGCTATCCCGGCTGTCTTCATTGACCACATTGTCTTCGAAATTTCATGCACATATTCTCTGTCCAAATATCGGGTTCAGTTCGAAAAATAGAAAGGAATTGACGTTAACGATACCGGTACAAATATTTCGAATTTGGATTAATTAGTATTGGTTTAACATGCGATATGTCTGCTATCAATGCTAGCGGGAAACAACGAAACAAACGCAATAACGCATTAGGCTAGCGCTGTGCTACACAGAAACAACAGTAACGGCGCGACGGTGTGGCTCATCGTGCTAAGCGTTAAGAATACGCTCGCAACCGCACCTCTGATTACTCTGTGTGGGTTCGCAAGTTCGAATCCCATGCAGCAGGGATGATTATGTGCGAGTGGATTGCTGGACTCCTCGCCGCCGTAGGGTGGTTCACGTAACCGCTGGTCGGTTACGGCTTCCTCCACCATCAAGTCCATGC